CAGGCATTTTTAAAATTTCCACTAAATTTACAATATACATACAATGTCAACACTTGCAAAGAATCAATTCAACGCTGCAATATTTGTAACAAATTTAGTACACTTCGCGTCATATAAAAGTGGTACAACTCTTATAACAAAAAAGCGTGCTTTTCAAGCTGTGTAAATTGACCTTTTAAATTGTGTCAAAGTTAAACTACTTTTTAGGTTATAATTTCTAGACCAACGTTGCCAGCACTACGAAAATATTAGTAGATGTAATGATACAAATAAGTTTGGTAAAGCAATAAAACGAAATGAAAAAATTAAAAATTTAATGTAATTTAAAATGAATAAGTTTTAAATTTAAATACATTTGACAATTCGAAACAGATGAAATAAATAATTACTATATTGTCATAGCTCCATTAATAATAATTTCTTGTAATCTTCTAAGCACTGAGTTAATTAAATTTATTGTTAACTTTTCATCTTCTGCCAAGCTTTACTAAATCATTTAAAACATAATAAAAATTAATTTTAATTAGAGTATTTACTTTGCGTATTTTTGGGGTGGTTCGGCTGCACAAAATTCTTTAAATCAGTTTTTCTAATTATTCTTAATACTATTGTTACTGAAGCATGAAAGTTTGTTTCAACTTTTGCCTATCTTGCCGTAAATAATTAGTTAATGTCTCATCTTGTTGTGCTATAGTTATAACTGGTCTCCCAGTTTCTCTTTTTCTGTTTACAATTTGATTGTTGTCCCATTTTTGCAAAGCTGTAAATTGTGATTTTCGCATTTTATCAAACCTACTCAAATGACCCGACATCGTAATAATGCGCTTTGACAAACCTGACAAATCTTACTGTTTGTCATTTTCAAAAGTAAAGTTGGTTTTACAGTGGGAAAAATAAGTGTACCAGTTTTATATGACGCGAAGTGTACCTACCCTAATGTTATTTTAATTTAAATCTGACCATTAGGGCAATTTTACCTAATTTCTTGGGAAGAGTTTTACGGGAACTAATAATTGTCAATGACTAATTTGCATAATTTTGTTAATCCGAAACCCGCGTAAGTATAGCGAACAGACTGTAGTCTTTCTACTCATAATTGATACCACAGACATTGATACTCATAACGACCTCCGAGACTTCAACATCTTTATTTTTTCTTCCGTCGCGTGCTCGACGCCATTCATTAAAAACACAAAATAAGAGATGTATTAAACCTGTTTTCATCACGCAGGTAGCCATCAAGACGTAATTGACGTCAATAGAACGTTAATTATTGGTCATTTTTGGTTACATACCTACGTCATGAAACAGTAACGTTTTTGGAACATCATTCTATGTAACATCAATTGGCCGTCAACTGTAGAGACGTCTTTTTGGGGACAAATAATTTAAATATTTAAAATCTTAAGTTTACATTTTTTTATTTGTTGAAATTATGAAGAAATGGAGAAAAACAATCCATAGAGCATTTAATGGTTTAAGGTTTATTTGTTCTGTTTGTAATACTGATATTAATTAGTTTGACATATACGTAATGTTGTCACATAATGAAATTTCCATATTACTCAATTAGGCATTCCAACGAAGTGTCCAAATGGCTACCAGTGGGTACTGACAGTTTAGATATGGCAACCCTGTTATCATGTTGTCACTAACAGGGTCAATGATACATATATAGTTATATAGATTGCTCAAAGCTGGTTGTTTGCGAGCGACCATATTGCCTGGCAAATATTTATTAATTTGAATCTGTTTAGCAAAAATGTGTTTTAAAACTAATTTTTAGCCTTTGCATATTTAAAGAAAAATAATTGCTTATATTTTTACTTCAAGGCATAAGCTTATGTTTATTTTGAAAAATATGGATGATCAATCTATGTAACCATCTATTTCATTGACCTTGTCAGATCACCAGGTCAACAGGGTTGCCATAATTTTGCCATAACATAACCTGTCAAAACCCACTGGTAGCCATTCAGTTTGGAATGCCTAATATTATTGCTAACATCGTCATTTAAATAATAATTTTTTTAATACTAAAATGTTACTGCAATTATTTGATTTGAATTTAAAAGATATTGGCACTTATTATAGGATTACAGTAATAAATGTAATTAAATTGTTACCCGTTTCCCTATTTGGATTTGTAATAAAATTGTATGAGATATGTCTCGTTGGCAATGCTGTCTGACGAGCACGGGCACAACGGGGGCAACAAATACGAACGCGTAACGACGAACGGCTAACTCGGTTAACGGCCAATTTTATGAAGGATGCAAGAACGGTAATGTTTGATTTAAAGGTGACGCCGTTTTTGTGACCTTTAAGCTGCTTTAAGGAATATTTTTTAGTCAGTCTGTGTTGGTTTACATTGTTAACAATCATGTATTATGTCATACAGTTTGATGAAACGGGGGATAAGAGTGTAGCAGTTGTAGATGAAAGCTGGTTGACTACTTTGAAGCGACAAGTTTACTGGCCCCAACTGAAAGATATAAGAATTTTTCGGCGCGCTTTGGCCGAGTAACAGGAAGTGGATTTGGAGATTTGGAAAATGCTTTTTTCACCAATATACATTTTTTTTCCAGAAACTAGTATATTATTTCTTATATGTATTGACATTTATACTTTATCTATTTCAAATTGAACCACTATAAAAAACTGTAGCCGACATTCGCTTTAAACCTTTGCTCAGAGCCACCGGCATATTAGTGTATCGAGGAAAAAGTTCAAAGGGAAATTCGACTACAATTTTTTGTACTAGTTCAATTAGAAACAGATAAAGTATAAATACATTGTACAGTTCATCAAATTTCTAGAGGCTTTCGACGGCTAGACAGAGAAAGCACTACTGACAGGCATCCCGACGGATTTACGCAATGAAAGTACACTCTGCGCATCAAGTATTTCACTATTTCATTCAGACGTAAATGTCAGATGTAAATTTCGCTAAAACATTTCTTTTATTTTCGTTTGTGTTTTTTGCTCATTACAGTTTAATAGAACCTAAGTATGGAGTTTAATAGCAAATTAAGAGGCCGCGTGATTAACAGTCAATCTCGCGAAATAATAGCCAATGTTATAGAGTTTATGAGAAGAGAAGGAAACTTTAATTCACCTTCAATACCATTTAAAAATGTAAATGATCGTGTTGCTGCAGCCACAGGAGTATCTAAAAACACTGTCGTCCGCATTTCTGGAGAGAGAAAAAGAATCGATAACCGTGAGATATCGGAATTTTCATCACCAAGAAAAACCATTAAAAAACCAAAAACAGTTAATGATATAGATGAAGCTGCACAAGAATCAAATTTTATTTTTTTATTATTAGATAGCTATTTTTGTTTCTGAGTTGTGTTCATTTACAGGCTCAATTTTTTTCCGTTTCTCCTTTTTGATTTTATATGGGGTTTCAAGTTGTTTTTGACTTATTTCGACGTAAATCACAACAACACACTTTTTTAATAAAGCAAACAAGTGTTAAGAGGTATATGTACGTGTAAACTACAATTACAAAAAATTGATATGAAACCCATGAAACCACCAACAAAAATGTAAAGCTAGCTTCCGTACTAGAACATGGTGTCAGTCGTCGAGATAATTTATCGTTTTGTTTAATAGATCAAGAAATGTAAATATTCCCCTGTTATTTTTTATAAAATTATAAGAGAAATAAATTTTTTTCTAAATAGTATAGTTTATTATTTTGTAGAAAAACAAAATTTCGAAAATTTTAGTAATGTTTCAGAAACAACCGTTATTAATAATAGGTACCATTTTCCTTAATAAGGTAGAAATAAAATATAAACTATTTCCACGATTTACAAAGGCCTACAAAAAAATTATAGGTATTTTCCGCTATCCTATAAAATTTATATTTTCTGACTCAATTTCAAAAGGTTGAAGGAAATCCAAAACACCTTTTATGGCATAATAATTATTTTCAATTCTACAAACTATCTTTAGCTGCTTTTAAAAACGTTCTAAGAAAGTCCAATCAGACCAATTTAATCCCTAAACTATTCCTCACTTTTAAAGTTTAATTACCTAAAAATATTAAAAACTATTTAAAATAACTTGTTTAGCAGACTGTACAATAGCTATCTTAGTCACACGTAGCGCGTTCTCTGTCTGGGCGTCGAACACCTCTAGAAATTTGATGAACTGTACTTATGCTAATCAAATCAAATGCGCACTCTAAAAGCTTTTTTGAACGTCCACGCGTTTACTTCTAAATGACGTCCTCTGGACATCAGTTGCCTGCCGCCATATTGGCCTGACTGAGGTCAAATTCTTTAAAAAAGAAGTCCGAAAGACATCATTGCTATGACGTCTTTTGGATGTGACATTACTGCATCTTTTAGACGTCATTTTGGACGTTCAATAGACGTCCATTTGACGAATGCGGTAACGTCTTATGGAGGCCGGTGCTACCTGGGCATTAACAGATAGGTGTTTGGCAATTCCTCAACAAGAATCACATTTCTCCTATCTACATTACTACATTCCAATACTCCTCTATGTGATGGGGAAAAAAAACCCATATTTCTGTGACGGCGATTGAGAAAATTTCAAAGTCACAAAGAACAAGGACTAAAACTGCAAAATCTCGAAAATGGAATGTTCTACAGCGATCAACCAAGAGGTCCGTTTTTTGTAACAAATGGCGTAAGAAATAATTATTAATCTCAACTTTTATTAAATATAGAGTGTTCAAAGTTTGGATTAAAATTGTTTTCTTATCCCTTGATTCTACACCAATGGGTCATCGTAATTTATCGAAATAGAGTGTCTTAACTAATATTGACGATTGACTAACATATACATATTTTTAAGTTAAAATCTTTATCGTAGCGAAAGATATTTCACTTTATCACCTTGTATAATGAAAACTGGGACGTTTACAGGAAAATTATATTTAGCTTTTCTTAAAATTAGTTAATATCTACAAATCCCTAGTTTACGGTACTTTATTCTGAAACAACCTATATATTTTTTAGGATCCAACCAGTCTGACTGCCTAAATATCCCCCTAATCACCCAACAGTCTTGCAGTACAACACACAGTGGGTCTATTTCGCCCATCAGAGACAATAATAATATGTTAAATGATAGACTATGTGTACAGTTAGAAAGAGAAAGAAATTTACAAAAAAGAGGAAAACCGAGTGAATCGGTGGTGAATGGAAGAAGAGGGAGATTTATAGTATTAGGTTCATCGGGAGAATGTCTACCTATTACGAGGCATCCCATGGACGATGAAAAGAGTGAATATGACAGCTGTGAATCGTCTGAAGGAGAATTTCATAGTGCCAAAACTAGTTTAGATGATAGTAAGACATGTCTATTATTTAATTTTAATATATAAACCTTATACTATCGATTTTGTAGCCAGCGAAGATGAAAATTTCCATAAGCGTTACAGTATAGATTTAGAAACGCCTGATAAACGAAATATTTTTGCTCAAAGACTAAAGGATGCCTTAAGGAAAGAAGTTAGTACATCTAGTAGCGATGAATCGAGTTATGCCGTGGGTATTTCAGTTACGGGGTCTAATTTACAAGATAGGGATATAAGGTAAGTATTTGACAGTTTATATCAATCTTGAACTGGCCGGATAAATATTTAAAACAAGGTCCTTTAATTCATAAATAAGCATTTGTTTATTTGCAAGCATTCAATTGATTTTTTATGTTAGACATATAGAGCTGTCGCATCGGCTATCGTTTAGAAAGAGCGAGACATTCACTAATCTGAGTGGGGATGGTATAAGCTCTCATATCTAAAATATATCCCTTCGATGTTCATCTTCCAGATATTTTTATTAAACCATATTTCATAACTGCACAGCCATTATTCCAATCTGCTTGAAACTGGAAACCTTTACCAATGGCTTGTTCCACAGAAAACAAGTTTCCTACCTACTTCTGAAACATACCTAAAGTTATCAAGACGATTTTTTTACCATCCATTGGAAATTTTCATTTGGACGTTTACTATTCTGTCGAAGTGCCAAAATAACATTGACATTTATAACTTTTATTTCTTTTGATGAAATAAATGGCTCAAACCCACATACTTTGATTACTATACGAGGCAAGAGAGAGGTCCGACACGCCCAACATAGGGCGCGGCCATTTTGAATCCTGTGACACAGTTTACAGCTAAAGAATTAGATCGCTCACTCTGCGTAGGCACTTTGGATCTCAATGTTTTAGTTTATACACTGTGCAACTCGGATAATACAATATATGACAACCGCCTATAATAAAACAGCAGTCTTCTGCGTATCCTAAATTTGTATCCCTGGAGTGGATGTTATTTTGGAAGTTTCAACTGGCCCGAGTAAGCTAACTGATTCTTTAGCAATAATCTGTGACTTCAAAAATAATATTCACTGACACCAGCAAGCAAAATATCAAGTGCGTTTTAATCATCCGCTTCTGCTTCCGGAATTGTCGGTTTAGTCGTTTTAACCTGTCAGATTAAGACAAAAAATCGACAGGTTAAAACGACTAAACCGACAATTCCGAAGCAGAAGCGGATGATTAAAACGCACCTATTAAAAATATTGCGTCAAGATGTAGGCAACACGTAATAAGGGTTCAAAATGGCGGAGTTTTCTATCTCCTTTTAAAAGGCACTCAGAAAGCTGCGCAGTGCGACCATTCTCCGTATAATAATAATAGAAAATCAAAGTATGTGCTCAAACCACATACTTTGTGTTCGTGTTTCCTTTTCCTAAATTAATTGTATTAATGAATTGTTTTTAATTTTCATTAGTTTTAAGTTTGTTACTATATTTTACCTGTGTTACCCTGTATTCTACAAGGTATAATGCTTTAGATAGTAGTGTCATTATGTTTTTGACAAGAGAATAAAAAAAAGGGTTGTCATTGAGAAAGAATAGTTTTCTTTAAAAAAACCAATAAAACCGTAGTCGAAGATTCAAAACGGCCTCTTTGGTCAAGAACAAAGCTGGTCCTTCGAGCTATTACCAAAGAATCACGCCTGTGAAAAATGTCCGAAAAAGAAGTTCGAAAGAGTAAGAGGTCCACAAAGGGCGTACCACCAGTCAGATATGGGGAAGACACCTGCAGACAAGTAAACGTTTCCGAAAGACAAAATCACGACGACGGGTCTGAGGATTCAAAGCAAAATGTTGTTAACCCCACTACAGAGAAACCTTCAAGCTCTAAAACCGAAAGTAAAACATCGAAAACGAAAACAGGCGTATCTAATTCAAGAAAAACTAAAAGTAGCATAATTAAGCGTAAACAGTTAGAATTAGAGCTAGAAAAAGACCGTAGATTAGCAGAAATAGAAAAACAACTAATTGAAAAAGAAACGGCATTAAAAAAAGCAGAGATTGAAGAAATGTACTCCAGCAGATGCTCCACATTAGAAATTGAAGATGATGCGAAAACCGCAACTTCCAAATCTTCTTATGTTCAAAAATGGATAAATAATTTAGAACCCCAAGACCAAAAAATCGTAAGTTCGCCATGTGAAGACAATAAATTAAAACAGTTTATGGCCAGGCAATCAGTCAACAAAGAACTACCACTGTTTTCTGGTGAACCCGGAGAATGGATAAATTTCATAACCCAGTTTAAAGAGTCGACGGAAATTTGTGGGTTTTCTTCATCAGAAAATATCATTCGTTTACAGAAAAGCTTAAGAGGAAACGCAAGAGAATCAGTTAGTGCATTACTAACCTTCACCCAAAACGTGAATAAGATAATAGATATTCTAGAAAAACAGTTTGGCAGACCTGAAATAATTATTCACGAACTCATTGATTCCTTAACCAAAATCCCTCCATTGAAAGAAGACAGAATGGATGTAATATTAAGCTTCGCAAACAAGATACAAAATTTGGCGATAACCGTAGAAAATCTAAACTGCCATGAATACCTTTTGAATCCGCAACTCCTTTCAGACCTAACTAAAAAGTTGACCTTTTCAATGAAAATGGAGTGGGGAAGAAAAATAAGAGAACTTAAAAAATTAAATAAACCCGTGAACATTATGGAATTATCTGCGTGGCTTCAAGAGACAGGAGAAGCTGCAATGTATGTAACTAGCTTTGAAATTGACCTAGACAAAAAAAAGAAATTTGTGTGTAATGCGTCAGTTCAAAACGATAAAATTGTACATAAATGTAAAATGTGTAAAAAAGATGGACACAAACTAGAAAAATGTCACGAATTTAAAAAATTTGATTATCAAAAAAGATGGGACTGGGTAAGAAAGAGCAAAATTTGTTTTGGGTACCTTGGCTCTTCACATCAAACCCGTCAATGCCGGAGCAAGAAAAGATGCGATATTAATGGATGTTCCTTTAAACATCACCCACTGCTCCACAAAGATTTGGTGGATTCTGAAGATGATCGTAGGTCTCTAATACCTGTTATGGAGCGAACGCAATTAAACCTTTTTGTTGAGGCTGAGCGAAATGAAATATTTCTAAGAATTGCTCCCGTGGAGATCAAGGGACCAAACGGAACACTTAAAATTTACGCACTTTTCGTTGAAGGCTCTACAGTAACAATGATCGACGCTTCAGTCGCCGAAGAAGTTGGCGTTTCCGGTCCCAAAGAACCTTTAAAAATCAGATGGACAAACTCCATTACAAATGAAGACCTAAATTCAATGAAGGTATCATTCAAAATTTGCGGCGAAAATGACTTTGGAACTGACACTCACTTTATCCTAAATAACGTTAGAACCATCCGAAATCTAGACCTTCCAGTTCAGTCAATCAACATAAAAAAAATGAGGAAGAAGTGGAACTATTTGAATCAAGTCGGTGTATCATCAATGGAAAACGTAAAACCAAAAATCCTAATTGGGCATGACAACATCGACCTAATAATACCTAGAGAAGTTCACGACGGAGGTAAAAATACTCCAATTCTATCAAAATCAAAATTAGGCTGGGTAGTACATGGAAGTATTGACAGAGGTGAACTAAATCGAATTAATGATGATTTTGTACTTTTTGTGAGACATGAATACGATAACTTAGAAAAAATTATCAAAGACTCGTTCAAAATCGATAGTCTAGGCGTAAAATATTGCGAAAAATTGCACAATCCAGAAGAAATACGAGCCCTTGAGATTCTAAGTAAAACAACTAAAAGAGTCAGCCAGAATAGGTGGGAATCTGGACTTCTGTGGAAAAATGATGATCTAAATCTACCAGATAATAGAATTACCGCAGTTTCAAGGCTTCATAGTATCGAAAAAAAGATGAACAAGAACAATACATTTTCGGAAGAATATACAAGGAAAATTTCAGAATACATGGAAAAGGGTTACGCAAGAAAAGTACCAAGTGAAGACAAGCAACGAAACCCAAAGAATCTATGGTACCTGCCTCATTTTGCAGTAACAAACCCAAATAAACCAGGGAAAATCCGACTGGTTATGGATGCTGCGGCTAAAACAAAAGGAATAAGCTTAAACGACGTGCTTCTAAAAGGACCAGACCTGTTAAACTCACTCTTAGGAGTAGTATTTAAATTCAGACAACGAGCTATAGCCTTTACCGCAGATATCCAAGAGATGTTTCACCAGGTATACATCAGATGGGAAGACCGAAGTGCACAACGTTTCCTGTGGCGTGGAGATGATAGGAGTAAAGAACCTGAAGAATATGAAATGATAGCCATGACCTTCGGAGCTGCCTCATCCCCCACAACTGCCCAGTATGTAATGAGAAAAAATGCGCAAGAATTCAAAGAATCCTTTCCAAATGCCGAAAGAGCCATACGAGAGCAGCACTATGTCGATGACTACCTAGATAGTAAAGACTCCATTGAAGAAGCAAGAAAGATAGTCAATGAAGTTATCGACGTACACGCAAGAGGGGGATTTATTATAAGAAATTGGTCTAGTAACAGTAAAGAACTGATGAAAAGTATACCCGAAAAGTACATAAATAACAAAATTAAAGATATGACCTTTGAAAAAAATGAGATTTTACCCACTGAAAGAGTCCTGGGACTCTATTGGAACCCAAATAGCGACTTATACGAATTCTCTACCAAATGGAACAAAGACCAAATTTTGACCCTAAAAGAAAGCAAATCTGTGACAAAAAGAGAGGCATTGAGGATCGTTATGACCATTTTCGACCCATTTGGATTTCTCAGCAATTTCGTAATCAAAGGAAGAATAATACTTCAAGACGTCTGGCGTTCGAAACTTGACTGGGAAAACAACCTAAATGATGATTTGATGAAGAGGTGGCGGAGATGGGTAACCGAAATAGGAAATATCTCAAGACTAACAATTCCTCGGGCCTACGTACCGAACATTTCTGAAGCTAAAACTATACAACTGCACGTGTTTTGTGACGCCAGTTCACAAGCATATTCTGCTGTAGCATACTTCAGATTTGAATTCACAGACGAAACAAAAACAGCCTTTGTAATGGCCAAATCCCGAGTAACATCGTTGAAGCCAACCACCATACCTAGGATGGAACTGACAGCAGCATTATTAGGGAGCAGACTCGCGATTACTATAAAAGAAAATCATAGCATTGAAGTCCAAGAGTGTTATTTTTG